CTCTCAGTTTTCTCTTTTACAGAGCAAAACTCAACTCTCGAGTCTTTAGCACAGCTCTCCTAAAACCTTCATATGTCTCTTTATAGGATTTTACACTAGTGACTTCAGACCACTTATCAAGATCATAGATTCACCTTTTTAAGCAACATACATTAATAAAAAATGACAACCAAAACAATTATAAGGAAACATGAGTACAATCACTGACCAGGTATTATTAAAGATAACAGAACTATTGCTTAAATATTGCTTCTGGGATTTGTCATATTGTGCATCCCAACTTAAGCAGTTTCTCCACATTAGTGAGTCTCTGTCATTACATGATACTGAAACTCCTGAAGGGGAACATGCTGCCAGAAGGAAGAATATTTTACTCATGTGGCTTACATCAGCTCCCTGGAAACACAAGTCAAAAGGCATTTCTGCCATGATAGTGGCATCTATGGCCCACAGTCTCCCAATATAGTAACCTGAATAGAACAGCTATGACTTTTTCACATCCCAAACGGACAAAGCTAATGCCACTAAACTTCACAGTGCAAGCCTAGCAGGGTAATTCTAAGCTGGGTACAAGTGCTAACTGGTATGCTGAAAAACTCTCCTATGGAGACAGACAGAGAGTTGGGGTTGGTCAGTCTGGAGAAAGAGAAGGCTCTGGGGAGACGTTATAGTAGCCTTTCAGGACTTAAAGGAGGGCTACAGGAACCATGGGGAGGGCCCCTTTATCAGGAAGTGTAGTGATAGGGTTAGGTGTAATGGTCTCCAACTGAAAAAAGGTAGATTACATAGAAGGAAGACATTCTGGGTGAAGTGGCACTGGCACAGCTTGCCCAGAGAAGCTGTGGATGCCCCCTCCCTGGCAGTGTTCAAGGCCAGGTTGGACAGGGCTTTGGGCATCCTGATGTAGTGGAAAATGTACGTGCCCAGGGCAGTGGGGTTGGAACTGGATGATCTTTAAGGTCCCTTCCAACCCAAACCATTCTATGATTCTATGAAATGAAATAAAGTATTTAACTTTTAGCAGTAAACCAAACATTTTTAAAACTCAGTACTGGTGTAATCAGAATTTTACTTTGAATTATAAATGCCTTATAATCTAAGTATCTTATACTTACACAGAAACATAAGCAATAAATAATGCACAATGCGAATGAAAAGAACCTTCACTGCAACAACGACAATAGTGTAAATACTGTGTGAGTATATTAAAAACAACAACAAAGCTTTCTCTTACCCGCAAGCCATGGAAGCGTGGGTTGCTGTAGAACAGCTTCATCTGCTCAGCTGGCAGTGGGCCTAGCACCTTCTGAATGGTAAAGAGTTGGTCAATCTCGCTCTCGCCAGGAAACAAGGGCTGCCCGTCACTCAGCTCTCCCAGGATACAGCCTACCGACCACATATCCACAGCCTTTCCATAAGGGGCTCTGTAAAGTGAATGTACAATGTTTTTCACCCACTGACACTGTCTTCTTACTGAGCTGTTTCAATTTATTGGCCATATTTCCCATGGCCCGCTTCCTCACAACACAGAAAAATAAACTTTGATATTAAAGAAAATACCTCAAATACCAAGCCCTCTGTTTCTGCCCTGGATTGCTTGATGTATTGCTGCTTGAAAAGGCAGAAAAGGAATTTTCAAGTACCCCAGCAATCTGGTTACCTTTGTGAAAAATTTTACATGCAAGAACAATCTTTTTGACTGTGAAGCACTTACCATTCCAAGTTAAACTAGCACTAACGTCCCCCTTCCTCTTGAGAGGTTAATGACTATGTTCTATTTCTGCATTACATTTCTTTTTCTATTGTGCTTAACAGGGAGATAGGCACATTGGGTCTGGTCACTGGGAGAACAGAAATTATAAGAAATCTTTGTTTCAGCATTCATACAGCGAAATTTTAATTAGAGAGAAAACAGAATGCTTCTGAAAAGTATTCCTTAAAAAACACAGTTGAAAACGCAATGAAAGCATCACAAAATCGGTAATTCCTGTTTTGGAGCAAAGCCACAGGTGGGGTTTTGGGGAGAAATTCAGATCGGTAATCTCTGTGTGTGTGCAAGCAATGTTGTGAGGTGCAGAACGTGGCATCCCATGTTTTAAACTGTTAATGACAAAAGACGCTAGGTCAGCAATGAAGAGTTTCTGACAGAACATCAGAATGTAGAGAATGGAAGTTTCTAGGAAAAGAAGAGAGTGGTAGACTACTAAAACATTCAATCTAAAGGCACAAACACTGATGAAACACAATCTTTTCGGGCAGTTTCTGATTTTCACTCTAATGTTCTGTTCCTCAGGAAGCTTGTTTAGCTGCCTACCTCAGTTGTGCAATAGCATTACCTAGTTTTACCTTTTTATTGTTCCTACTATAGACCAACACAACGCTTTTTCTGTAAGCTTGAGTTCTTGCTTGTTGAATTTGAAAAAAAGTCTTTGTAAACACCTGACTTATTCCAGGAATCTCTTTTGTATATTTAGGGTTTGAGCAGAATGACCGGAGAATTCTTCTCATGTCCAAGAAAAAGCATATAAAGAGAATAAAGATTGGAACAAAGACTGAACCGAAACCACATTTCACCAGATCTCTTCTTTTTGGAACTTGTAATCCAACAACTCAATTTCTGTTTCAAGACATTTTGAAGTTACAGCTGGCTTGCCTATTTCTGGAATAAGACAACACCAGGAGGTGCAGGTGAGAAATCCTATCGTAAATTGGTTCTCTTTGCTCCTTCCTTATGCTACTGATTAAAAACATTTGGAGAGAGAACACTCTAAGACTAAAGAAAAAAGTACCTGACTTTCCCCCATTGATTACTCATGATTAGTTGCTTCACTTTAGGGGGAAGGCACTTAGCCAGACGACCCTGTAACCTTTGTGATGATTTAGTTAGGTGAAGGTGAGAAAGCAGTTCTAGCTGGACAATAGCCTGAGCGAAACTACAGGCCCACTGAGATGCCCAGTGCAGGAGTCTATAGTAGCTAGGAAAGCTGAAGCAGGGCAACAAAATTTCAAGAACCATTTGCCTTTCAGAATCTGCCATGAGACACTGAAGTTCTTTCACGAACAATCATCACAAAATCAAAGTGTGCCCCATTGGAATAGACTGCTGACAAGGAACCACTGATGGCAAAGCAGAACGTGCCAAAACTCCTGAACTACTACTATAATGGCTTTGTGGGTTCATAATTCCCTTACTAATCTCGCATAGTGACTACTTGTGGATTTGCTGAGAGACTCAATGCTTGTTCTTTCTGTGATGCTGCTAGTCCAACCCACCCATTAGGTCAGGTCTCAGTGCCAACAGAGGACTAATTTTTCTCCACACTGCAGAAGGCAACACAGACAAGAACAGGCTTCAAAGCCACGGATCTGCTCTTACGATATTCTGGGCCTGCACCAGAAAATTGAGGTCCTGTAAGCAAAATAGTGTGTGAGAATGCAACTAAAAAACATACCTTTTTATTATGGCAGAAAAACAAGCACATCTTTATTTGCAACCCTTTTAAGAGGCAGGTTTATACACTGAAATGTGAAACGGGGAAAACATTGCCCTAGGCTGGGGCCTTGGAAAACAAGCTAGGTTTACAACTGAGGAATGGGCTAAAACTCTTTTGAGGCAGGGACCATTACCTTTTCTTGCTAACAAGAATAAAGAAAGCTGAATCACAGTTTAAGAATTTTCCACTATTTACTCTGTAGTCAAACAGAAATAAAGCAGGAAAGCCCATTCCATAAGGCAGTGGCAGAGTTAACTGCAACTTTTTTGTTTGAAAAGGCATGCTCAAGGCTCCTGTTCTGCTGACTGTCAGGATCAGTCTTGCCAGATCACAAGCGGGAAACAATGCAAGAGTGATGTGGGTGGGTAAATGAAGTAACTACCAATGGACAGACACCACAAATCAGAAGTATTATAGTCTATTCCTGTGCAAATTAGATTCTCCAAAACATGTTTTCATCTAGTAATTTGGTATGCCTTAAAATCTACTGGCTTTTAGCAGTATTTTGTCATCAAAGGATACAGAATACACCACTAACAGCTACCTGAAGGTCTCCAAAGTGAGGAGATCTTGGATGTTCTGTAAATAATTAGGCAGTGATTTCTTTCCTCTCTTGAAATTTAAGTCTTGAACTTTTTCTCACAACAGAAACCTCTCTGGAACACATTCTAGTTGCTTTCTCATGCAAAGAGCAACTCCACCACCATGCCTGGTATATGTATGTATATTTTTGTGTATATATATTTGTATATAAAAATACTTCTATGCTATACATACAGGAATTGTATTCTGTAAGAGTGATCACGTATTCTAGAATAATGCACTGTTAAACTTGATAGTAATGGGAAGATCACTTATAGTACATCTTCAGTTATTTTTGTCTTTTCCTTTGCCCTTTTGGGTCCTATAAATTTGTTCATATAGTATCTGAAAATCTGTTTAACCTTGTGAGGTAGTAAAACACTAATTTTACAGATTAATATAAGAGTAAAACTAAATTGTCCAGCTGAGGCTACTCATGTAACTACTGCTTTCATAGTCAATGCAATACTAACTTCTCAGTGCTTTATTAAAATGATTCATGTAGCCTCCCTCAGTAAATTATCTCTGAGTAATAAAAAGCTAGCACCATCTTCCTGAGACACTTCAGCAGTGCTGGTAAAGGGTAACTGGGAATGAAAACCAAACCACAGTTCTGACCCAAAGGATGAAGAGAATTAGGAGTGCAGCATGGTGAAAGCTGCAGTGGCATTGCTATGTGATGTCCACAAGGCTGATGAAACATTTCAAGCTACAGTACTACCAAGGAAACCCCTTCTGAAGGGAATGGGGAAGCAGGAATCTCAAGTACATCTGTTATAATTCAGCTTCACGCTTCAATCAGTTAAACACTGCTCAGCTCAAGAGAGGTCAACATGTCAAGGATTCATGCCAACTTACTGGAAATGAACAAAAATTAATGAAAATCTGGAAGGTTATCTTACAAAAAGTTCTCAGAAAAAATGTAAAGAATCGTTCAAGATTTATCATGGCAGTTCTACAAACTGTACTTACCCAAGCAAGAGCTCAGGTGAGCGGTACCATCTGGTAGCCACATATTCTGTATAGTTAGCATTGCTTCCTTCAGAAAGATTACGAGCAAAGCCTGTCAAAGAAACAGTGTGAAAGATTATATCCTATTTTAAATACAATATGCATATCACCACTGATTTCGTCAGTAAGAGGTCATGCCTATCTAAATAGAAGCAAATTGTTGATAACCCGTAGGTGCAGAACGATGTCTCCCAACAATTGCTTGTCTACTGAAATGCAAGCTTTTATTGATATGGCAGTGAAAGTCAGCATGTCTGCTTTAATGACTACTTTATCTGTGTACTCTCCTCAGAAGTTTATGGGGTTTTGCTATGACTTTTAGTGTTTTGCATTAATAAAAACAGATTGATAGAAGTTACCTGACAGAACGCCATGCAAGCTATTGAACTGTTGCCACTAAATTTCACTGAGATGCTGTATGCAGAAGATTCATAGTATTAGAAATGTAACACACGCATGGGGAGTAGACTCTTCCAGTCACTGATCTTAACTCCTACTGTCTCACTGCATTCTTTTTTTATATTTTTATATTTTATATTTTTTTTTATATTTCTAGTCAATAAACTACATATTATTCTCATCTAAGAACAATCCCTCCCCAACGTGGCAAGGAACAGGGTCTTCTGCCCAAAACTACAAAAGGCAGGAGTCTACCAAAGATCAGCAAAACTGCTTTATATCTGCATTTGACTCACTCCACATGTGTCAGCTTCCCACCTACTTTAGCATCACATTCATAACAAGGCTCTCAGTGAATTACAATGAGAAACCAAGCCCAAATTAACTTCCTCCTCCACATCATTTTGTTAATAATATTTTTTAAAGTATACTTATTTGCATATACTAAAACTTCTGTCCTCAGGCATAACTATTAAGACCACTGACTGTGAGAGGAGTGCATATACTGGAAAAAGCCAGATGTAGGAAAAATTCATATTTTAATTTTCATTCTCCTCCATTTATAAAAAGTCAGCTGACCACCACAGTAATGATGTTACTGGATTCTTTTTGTAGAAGTACTCTAGGGCACATCCTGGCACTGTTTTCAGAAGGGTATCATGTGTCTTTCTTTTTTCAAACAAATAATAAGGTGAGACTGAGGACAGACACACCTCGGCAGGTAGACTCCAGATGCATAAGGTCCCTTCCAGAGCTCAAACTGAGCCATATTTTTTGAGACTGAAATGCAGAAGCACCATTTTCAAAATGCTTTCTTACTGGGATGTGGCATTGAAACTTGGTCCAAAATCAGTGAAATCGCTGTGAGTCTTTCCATTATTGCATGAATGATGAAGAAAGAATAAAAATTCTAAAGTGTTGCAGAGGTATAAGGCATGATTTCATTTTCAGAATCAATAACTGCTACTTAAATGCAACAGTCATTTTTCTTTATATCTGAGTTCTTATGCAGAAGCTGTCAAAATTGCGTTTTCCACATAACTATGCTTATAAGGATATAATTTTTTTTGAAGTTGGGTTTTTCTGGTATTCTGAAACTGTATCTCATCTGGGCTCAGCCCCACTCACCTCTGCGGAACACTCATTTACTCCAAGTTGAAGTAAAGGTTTGGAAACAGATTTTTATTATTAGACTACCGATTTGAGAAAACAATGATAAATTTATTACTGACATAGGTTACAGCTGTTACTTTTTGCAAGATACCTCTACCTTCAAGAGTCAGTAAACTAAAAGGCACATATGATGAGGAACAGATAGTTCAAAGTTATCCCAAAATAATAATGATTTTGATCTGTTCCCATGAAGTCTAATGAACATTACTGATGCTGCTGGAGAAGTGCTGGAAAGGAATTTTTTTATTACATGTAACACTGGGTTTGGGTAAATTTCTAAACATTACTATATTTAGAACTGCTTAGGCAGCTCTGTTTCTGTTTCAAATTGCGTGACCCATCTGATTAATCTTGCCAGTGAAAACTTCATTCATGTGTTTAAAGAAGAGAGGGAAGATAACCAGGAGCTACACTGAAGAAATGGGACAGACAAAATGAACAGTGGTAAGTCCCAAACTGAATGGGGGTTTGGGGGAAAGGTGTCACATGATACAAATAAACACACGTGCTAACACACGAGGCTGACAGCCCACCAGTCCATGCACACCAGAAGAATCAAGCAGTCAAGGATGCACCCATCTCCCTCTAGGCCAGTCTGCTGGAACTTGGTCACAGTCAGCAGCTGCTATGTCCAGAGAGCAGCAGCAGCTGCTAACACAGCCTGAAGAAAAAAGGATCAGACCCAAGTTTACAGACTAGGTGCAGAACAGATTTGATGTGGCAAGACGGAAAGGAAAATTATCATCATGGGCTTCAAAGTGTCATCTATATATTGTTGGGTCATGTAAGAAACCCATTTATGGATTTGCTACTGCTCTGACTCTATGACACCATGCTGAAAGATGATGGACAGAATTAATTCTTCAAGAAAGCAAAATACCTTTCTAAGGGCACAATTACTTATTTTTCGTTGTGGTGGAGTTAGCTTATTGATCCTTCCTCCAAACTGTGCCTAAGTATTGGGAACATTTTTTCTAATGTAAAAACAAGAGAAGGTATACTAAGGAGAAGATTAGACCAAACTCTAAACAGTGAGAAAGAATAGATTAGAAGATGAAGACAGAAAGCAATCTGAGTGAGAGCAACTATGAAAGTAATAGAGCTTGTAAATGCATCCCACACTGTGAGGAAGGAGAACAGGAAAAATAAGAAATTTCAAGAAAGGACTTTAAACAACTTGGAACAGGGTTGGAGAGACGTGAATAAAAAAGGTATGAGAAAAAAGAACACTGTCAATTTCTTAGAGGGAAATAAGGCAAATTTAAATTAGACAAAGTAAAGCATTCTAACATTACTGACATTTAAGTACTTAAATAGATGCCTAGGAACAGCAAGAAACCTCCATTATTGAGAATTTTAAGAACAGGCTAAGCAAACACCTGTCAAGAATGACACAGACATACTTAATCCTTCCCTTGAGTAGGTGGAAGAACTAGAGAATTTCTTGAGGTCTTTTCCAGTCCTGTGTTTCACGATTTCTATGCTTATGCATCACACAGAGATTAAAAGATTGCTAAAACAAGTAATTTTGAAGCTCTAGTGTTGAAACAGCAAACACACTAGTCAGAAAGTCTATTTCCAACAGATGCATCTGCTGTAATCGGCATTTTGTACTGTTCTCTTTTTCCACTGCTATTGGCAGAAATGACACCCACACAACATGTGTCCAGGCAAGCACCACATTCAATCTCATTTTTATCTAGCACGATAAGTACAGAACACATGGCACAAAGATTATGAGGCTCTATCTTCTTAAAAATCTATGAACTTTTCTATTCAAACTGTTTTGTCCACTGGGCTATTCAGAAACACTCAGTTACTTCAATATCTGCATTGGAATGGATGCATAAACCTTTGCTTTGCATTTTTTATCACGTGAGAAATGTGGCACTGTATGTGACAAGTATCTGTGTTCCGAAACATTAATTAAAGTTAGATAGGCAGACAGTATCTGTTAAATCATGTTTAAAGGTAAATTCTTATATTCTAATCTGTATATGTTCAGGAAATGCTTGCAGCTAATATCATCCTGACAGACAATTTCCAGTAACAGCTTAAGCTACTAGCAATAATGTCAACTAGCAATAAAGCTAAAAAATTAAAGCTGATCCCAAATAGTATGAGTTGCTTTGAATTTTAAATTCAACTAAATCTGAAACATTGATCAAAATTGAAACTAATGCACACGAACACTAAGAACAACAGAAATTCCCATAACTTAGTTTGCCTTTCTCAAGGTTGTGCCAAGCACTGCGAGTGCATTGTGACTGCATGTCTTTTCCAACAGCAGAAAGAGAAGGTGGCTGGAGTGTACAGCATGAGCAAGCCAACAGACCACACAAACTATCACTGCTAGCAGAATTCACATCATCTATGGCTAGTGAGAAAACTGACATCCAGAACAGGATTGTACCATTTGTTCAGCTTTTTTTCTTCCTGTAATACTGCTGCACAGAGGATGTTGGCACGAGTTCACAAGCACAAAGATTTGTTAGCTGATGTCATATGCCAACTCTAATGATGAACGTTACTTTCAGGGGCAACACACAGCCCCCAAAAAAAAGCCAAGGGAGGGAGGGTGAGGCCTAGGGAAGGCTCCCACCCATGGCTGGGGAAGGAGGTTGGACTGAACAGTGCCCATCAGGACCCACTTACACCTCCAGTGGCTGTTCCTGCTTGTAATGGCATTAGCCCCGAGTGGAGGACAGGTACTGTCTGCTGATTGGTTGTTAAGCTCTGTGCAAGGCAGCAATTGATTCCCCTAACCACCCAAAGTTGGTGTGGAGGGTGAAGAGATGGAGAGGGATCAAAGCGTACACCACATCAGCCTTCATTCCCTGGGAGAGCCCCGGCCCTGCCAACCCCAGTGGGGTTTGCTTGGTAGGGGCAAGGCCCTGAAAATAATCGTGGGGTAAGGGAAAGGTCCTGCCCCACCAGTTCTGGGCAATGCTGCCAGGGCAGCCTGGGTGCAGAGCTGCCAAGGGAGGGAGGCCACAGCAGTGTGGACAGGAGGCCTGTGGGTACTGACAAGGCAAAGGCAACCAAGGGCACAGTGCAATGGTACCTTGGTGTTCTGTCAGAGCTGTGCCATTACTTAGACTGCAGAGTACATTGCCCTGAATTCAAAGAACGCATATGGACCAAATCTTCTAAGGCTTTTCCTAGAATGGTTATTGTTTCTGAATGCTTAAGCAAAAATGCTTTTAGTATTAAAAGAAATAAGCAGCACTGCAAATGACAAACACTTTTTCTGTGTTCCTAAAAAACTATTTCATTCTATTTTTTTAGCAGTTCTTTTCATTCAAAATTGCAGAGGTTTGAAATGACAGCTTTCAAACCACTCTCACTGAGAAGTGCCCTTGGGTAGCACAATGGAATTGTTTTTTTATTTACCAAGCCAAATGGTAAGCTTTTTAGAGGAAACAAGATTTTGTGTGATTATTAGCATTTGAAATAACAATGCAGATTATTGGAACTGTGTGTGCTCCACCCTGTTGTCTTCTGGAGATTACTGCCATGGACAAAGTTCACCTTGTGCTTGGATGCTGATTCTTCAAAGCCTTAAAGCTGGCATTAAACAGGTATTGATAGGTCAGGAAACATAAGAGTTAACATTTCATGTACAGCTCTGACTCTAACTTCCAGCCATTCAGTCATTAATCAGATGTGGACACATGATTCCTTAATTAACATAACAGTAAAAGCTGACCTACAACTACACACGTAACAGCCCATGAAAGCCAGCGTCTCAAAAAATACATAAAAAGTATAATTTTATAGTGTCTTTACTAAACACGGAAGAATTCTCTTTTCTTTAAGTACATGGGCCAGATAAACCCCCAGTTTTCCTAGCCTCCTAATCAGCTTATCATCCCTGCAGTTCTCAGCTGGGTGCCAATAACATTGCTAGTAAAAACCTTGTCAAGTATAGCAAGAGATAAATGCAGTGTTTCTATTGACATGGTAATACAGATATTTCACGGGGTATGCAAATTGAGTCCAGAGATCTTTCAAATTAAAATATTAGCCACAAACCTGAAGAAGTAATCAATTCTGACCACTAAAGGGATTTTAGGAAGTACATACTGTAGAACTCTTCTAAGAGTAAGGCAAAACTCCACTGCAAGAGATTTTCTTTAAAAAGGTAAGAAGCAGGTATCTATCAATTGAACTTACCGAAGTCACACAGCTTCAGAACATCATTGTGGCTTATTAAGAGATTCTCAGGCTTGATATCTGGAGTATCAGAGTGAGAGAGGAAAAAAAATGCTGTTAACTTCTCTTTTTAATTTTGAACTTTGTCAACAAATATTATTTCATTACAACATATTTAGAGACATTCATGCAATCATAAATAAAGCACTACAAGAGCAACTGCTGAAACAGCTTCCAGCAATTCAGTTTGTGAACATGCAGAATTAATTTTCTGCCTTTTGAAGTCTTTTAAAGTCTTTCCCAACAAAATATGGGAAGATAAAAGGTGCTTACAGATATTCCTGGGTAGCAAAGCAATAATCTATTTTGCATATTGCAAAATAATACAAAGAATTGACATTTAATTATTCAGTTAACCAATAAAATGGGTTGTGCTCAACATTTTCAGTAATGGTGATCTTCTTGATCACCTCTTCTCATTTTTTTAGAAAAATAAGTATTGTCTAGTTTTAAGTGCATTTTTTTATTCTTATATGGATATTGTGGTATCCATAGATGGTAAATTTTTCAAACTATAATTTACAAAATATTTTCAGACTCTTGCTTATGTTTGATCAGCATTAACTACAAATAGCATATTGTATGAGAACTTTAATTTATTGGAAACATCAATTAGAAGTGTTACTCTTGCAAAGCCAAAAAACAAAATCCAATTTTATTAAATCTGGATAAAATACATAATACTAGATAAAGTCACACAGAAATATATGCACCCTAAGTGCTTGAAGCTTAGGGGAGAAAGTAAATATACAGAGCTGAACTCATGAGAGCTGGGAGGAACTGCCTTAAGTAGTAAAACATGGGGGACTACGCCTTAAGTTTTGCATTACTTTTCTCCCAATATTCTATTATCAGATTCAAAAATGAAATGACTGAGCAAAATGAAATCTTTCAAAAATTCCTTTTTTTTTGGCAATATCTGTACCGCAGTTTCACTTCACTATGCATATGATACAATCTTTGTATCAATATCTCAACAATAGTGGTCAGCAAGCTTTACATGTAGATGAATTTAGTTTAAAAACAATCTGAAGTCACGCAGCACACATAAGACCCAGCCAAAATCACCAATTTTTTTTTCTGTTGATATAAAACAATTGCTTTTATTTATGTTAAATGCAAATTACTTCAAGCTGTAACATCTTTCCCTTTAGAAAGCAAATTCCGACCCAGGCTTATTTCCATGTGGAAGTGCACACTTACCTCTATGAACAATATCATTCTTATGGCACCAATGAATTGCTTTAATCAGCTGGTAGATATAGCTTTTCACTTTTTCTGGTGGAACTCCATTTGGCATTTCTTCTAGCAGTTCAAGCATATTCTAAATGTTTAAAAGACACATTATTTAAGAGAGTTAGGCTGTAGTTGCTAGAAGATAACACACTTTCGGCATTCTGAAGCTACATACTCAGGCCGCTGAGCCTGGCTATGCAAAATCAGTATTTTAACATTCAAGGAGTGTATTTTAACCATAAGCAAACTAATTAGCTGTTTTCAATCTAGAAAAATCATGTGTGAAGACAATAATCCTTAAAAATGAACCACAAATATGCCACAAGTCCTTAAAAGGCTGTCATCAAAGCACTTATTCTCAAACTTCTAAAAAGTAATTTAGTTACAAAAAGTTGCCTACACAGAAACACCACGTCAGTGTGTCTATATTAAAAGTCTAGGAGAGCACAGCATTTTGACTGTGCTTTAACATAACTGTTTTCTTCATTATTAAGTTAGCTCTGCTGCTTTGATGTAGCAGGGGCGTGATTAATCACAAGCCACGTCTGTATGTGAATGGGTAGAGTTAAAGCAACACAGGCCTGTTAGTGCAAATGAAGTAACAGATAAAAATACCTCTTAGGGGCATAAATAGCAACCTAGGGAGTATCCTATAGCAATATATCAGCTGTGACACTCAGATTCCCATTACGTTAGCAAATGTCGCCAGTTTTGCACAAATGGAAGTACAATGGGGTTTGTACTCTGAACCCTGAATGAGCAACAGGCACTAGCAGCCACTTGAAGAGATAAGTCTTATTAATTGAACACCAAAATAGAAATAAGTATTTTGGCTATATTGCCTTACACGACTCATTTAATTATGGATGTGAGCATTTGTAGATTTTTTTCATTTAAAAATAAACTTGTCTTTGACAAACACTTTCTTTAGCTGTATAATGAAAATTTTGAGATTTCTCTTGCAAGAGATTATAATGAACACAAATATAAGACAAAACAAATGGAGAATCTGAAAACATTTCTAAGTTTTGCAATCTGTGAATAAATATTGGAACTTCTATGTAAATTTCCTTAGAAATATGCTTCAGCTCTGAGAAAAAGAACTTTCTGTTAAGGAACCATATTGATTTTGGTTGGACTGCTGACCACAGAGAAGCCTGTGGATCTGGGTAAGTAAGTCAAGAAGTTAGTGTTACAAATACGAACCAAAATAGTAGCATCAACAGAGTGAGACATAATCCTATATGAAGACATTAACTAAGGGGATGATGAATAAAGGAGATTACACTAAATGTGAATTTAAGTAATCTGGATTTGAGTATAGCAGAGCTAAGATTCTCTAAAGGACACAAGGTGCTCATCACCAGTTAAAACACAAATTAGCCTACTATACCACATTTTATGTAATTCCTTCTACCTTTCCCTCATCCAAAAACACAGAAATAATCCTGGTCTTCAAATAAACTATTATGGAAACATATATGGAAACGTAATATTATTTGACATATCTGAAAATGAGAAATGTTCAGGGAGTGCAAAGTTTAACTGAAACCAAAGGTGGCCATCAATGTAGAAATTACATTAGGCACAGACTATACATGGTATCTACCTTTATCATTATATTCTTTTATTCTGATGCAAATAATGTTAGATATTGCAGCCTGGTGTTTTTACCAATATTAGCAATTTTTGAAGTACACCCCTAATCAGATCAATTAATGTCTTCTACTGCTCTTCCAACCCATTACTATGGAGAGTGTAGCCAAGTCAACTGTAATAGAAAATAAGATGATGTTCTAAGCTGGTGTGTAATCAAAGACATTCCATGTGTCTGAAACAATTACAAGGAACATGGGTGGAACAAGCTTTGGGTGTTAGATCTGCGTAAGATCCACCACATCAGAAGTTGCCGATCTACTAGAGAAAACCAAAACTGATTTCTGCCAGACTATGGGCTAATATGGGTCACCTCACATTATGCAATTGAGTTACATGACATAATAAATTGCAAGCTGAGGTAAAGAAGACACAATATTTAGGGTGAGGAATCTTTACACAGGAAAGCATTGACTGGAGAGGACTAGCAATCAGCTAGACTGCAACATCACACTGGCAGGACATTAAATGAAAATTTCACTCATGAAAGCTACAAAGATACATACATTTAAGTTTGCATTTATTTTTACTGTGTGTATCTGAATACCATCTAATTATTTTCATGAAGAAATGCTAAATGGTTAGCATTCAGAGGGAAGGCCTACCTTCACCACAAAGGTTGCAAAAATAATGATAGACCAATCTGTTCTAGGTTTTTTTCTCCTTGGAAACAGACCAGGATGCTTGGCAGTAGTAGGGTAATCTAAGGAAATTTTGGAATCGTTTCAAATGAGGTCAGGATTGGAGACAATGACAGTGATCTTTGCCAAATCCCTCTAAGCAATTATTGATAGTGGCCTTGTTACAGAAATATACAAACAAATCCTATTTTTAACAGGGAAGGATGGAGAAAGTTGAAACAGATTCCAAGGTCAAAAGTCTATGATCTTGTTTTGAAAGACTATGTCAAGATTCATTACACAACAGAACACAGGACAGTTAATCAGCTTTACAATTAAACTGGACTATAGAGTTTGGATGGAAATTTGTCTTCAAATTATATGTGTTCTGGTCTACATAATTTAAACATGTTTGGGTTCATAGATGGAAGATATTTCATTTTTTTTAATACCAACACATGAAGTAAAAACAATAGTAAAGTTATCATTGTCGCTTTCTCAAAATAAATGTCTGATTAAAACAATTCAGATTGTATTAAAGTTCCTGCTTTTCCTCTTTATAGATCAGAATAGTTTAATTTTTAAAAGTAAAAGTAATTTTAAAGACCTTTCCAGTAAGCTGATGATTTAATTGTGGCAAGGATAGTACAAAATTAACTCACTTTTTCCACATATTCGAAAACCAGGTATAACTTTCCTCTTCTTCTGAAGGCTTCCTTCAGCTCCACTATATTCTCCTGTTTCAAAGTGCGAAGCATTTTAAGCTCTCGTAAAGTGGTTTCTTTGACTTCTTCATTTTCTAGAATGCAAAGTAAAAGTGACAGAATACAACTTATTAAAAAAAGCAAAACAAAACAAAACCTGTAATGAACAAGCATTATAAATCTTCAGTTTGAAAACCTGATTAAATTCTCTGTTTCTAGTTATTACATAGAAAAAGGCTTATTTTCCCACGTGGACTCTCTGCTGCCTAGATGGTTCTGCACTGAAGAGAAGTAACTGGGGACTGTGCTATCATTATGCAACCCTCACAGACTTCCCGTCACTACCATCTAGGTTTTCAGTGGTAGAAAAAAGCATAAGAAACAAATAATTTGCAATTCTTTTTCATTATGAAGAGCACTAATATGTTTCAAAAAATATGCATGTATGTGTACAGATTCATCCTCCACCCCAGCATGTACGTCACACGCATGAAGCATTGGCAAGGTTAATATGTCCTCAGCAGAAACACTGGATTACAAAGCTCATATTTGTACAATGTCAGAGAAATCTGCTTTACTCTAAAATAATTTTATTCTCCAAAAGCCATGACAAATTTTAAGACAGAAACACAGATTTGTAAATCCTGTAAGTTTACCCATAAGGCTTTCAATGGCAATTCAGCAATGCAGGCCAGTGTGGCACCACAGAGGTCAGCAGAGCAAGTATTGATTCAATGAAGCCTTGAATCTGATTCTGAGGAGTTGAGAAATTTAACTGTTGTTTTGACAATTTAGTTGTCTGAAAGTAGTTCAATAAAGAAGGAGTGCTTTACTAATGCTTTGTAAAATGCTTATCATCAAGGGGCCCTGAACTGACTGGGTTCTAAAGGATACTACCAACAAAATGTTAAGTCAATGAGATTAAATTAGGTTTTATTTTTCATTTAGTAAAATGAAATCCATTAATTGAGGAAATGTGCCCATGCACATGTAGAAGCAGGGTTCTTAATCTGTTAGTACTGTTATCCACAACAGAGGGATATTAAATGGGGTATGATTGCAGAAATTCAAAGCTAAATCACATTTGCTGGTCATGGACCACAAAGACAGTCAGAGACAGAAGAAGAAACAAGGAAGAGAAATTGTTTTTCCAAGCAAGCAAAAGGCAAAAACGGGTTTGCACGGGAGAGAGAATAACACAGGTCATGCAAATGCATATAATCATCATCAGAAGAGAGGGTAAAAAAAATAAAATTGAAGTGTAGCAAAAGGGAAGAGGAAAACTAAATACTATCATCACAAATGTTTTGATTAAAAATATATAATTTAGAGCTATCTAAATAATTCCATTTTAAAACTGAGTGCTTGATGTTGGCTTGCATCAGCCTGATTACATAATTTCATCTATAACTAGACACAGTCTTTCCAGTGCATTTAGCTTGCACATGTCAAACAACAGCAAAAATTCAGTGAAACAAAAATGGCAATAGAAACAATTACAGTATATTCAGATTTCTAATGAACTACCATATTAATGAGACAGATGTGAAATGGGCTGAATCAAATCCATCAAAAGAACTTCTGTCATATTTCCAGAAACTTGTAAACAACTAGCTACAACTCCAAAAAGCAATCATCAGTCATGTAAACTGATATTACAGAATACTCTTGGAAAGCCAGACCTAATGGCAATGCTGCATTTTTTGTTTTCAATTTTCAGTAACCAGGCTAATGTAATAATCCTGTTTAGGGCTTAATACTGAGATTCATTGCCTAGAATCTGTACCGAATAGCCATATCTAGCTCCAAAAAGCAACTCTAAAGCACTCTCATGACCTGGTCAAGATGGTCACCACCATTAAATTATATCCTATCCTCTTTAACAGAGATTTAAAACAAATTTTTAAATAGAAGAGCTAATAAATCTAAGATACTCTTCAAGTGTCTGGCAAAATCAGCTGCAAAGCAGTTTGCACTGCATAAAAGACACAAATCAGACTTTGCTGTGTCTGACTGAAAATCACAGTCCTTGTAACCAACCACACCTCCACGGCCACCAGCAATCCTGTAACTATAACAAAAAAAGAGAAGTGTGCTAAAATAAAGTGACTGCTGTTTCTTTAAAGCACATCGCTACCTTTCAGCTAAGGCCTTGGTATATGGCAAAACATAGCTGTATCACCTCAGACTGGGCTGACTCCTCTTATTACTTTCATACTTGGCTTCTCCTTCTGTTTGCGCTAGCCCATTAGGAACCATGGTGTACAGTAGTAGGTAGTCAGTCGCTCTTGTGACTGATTGCCAGTTTTGCCTATGATAGGATACCGGGATTCACTGTCCCCCAACAAGCACAGGTCAGAAAGCCAGTCCTGTCTTGTAGAGATCTTTGGTTTTATTACTGCTGGGTGAGAAATAGGTGTGTGCAGCACTAGCAATAATTTCCATGTGTCCTGCCTTTTGCCACCCGCTTGGCCAGCAACAGTAAGCCTTGCAGGAGTTGGCTCTTCCCCCCTCGCAGCAAACTCAGCGACACTGAGGAGTACATAGAGGCTGCTGTGAGGGGGCAGAAAGTGTTTCCTGTGGAGAGCAGAGCCAGCTGAAGGATGGGCAGAGCTGCTGCCTCACCAGCTCCCTCAAATCCTCCCACAGATCCCCAAGAACTCTCTGATTCCTCTTTGTACACTAAACTTCTCCAGGACTTCTCTCAGTCTCCTCCATTTACCTCTACATGTCACCCTGACATTCAGATCCCCTCCCACAGATGAAGGGTGATAAAGCCCAAAGACTCTGCAAGCCACTGCTACAAGATGAGTTTTTGCCATTTTCTGATCACATCCAGTCTCCAAGTGGTAGATCTTACTACCATGTACGGCACCACAATCTCAGCCAGATAAGGATAGATGCACCAAGAAAGAAAGGTAGTTATCGAGTTGGAGTGTATAATCCAGTCCCTAGGCAGGAATGAACGATCAAATGCCTTGAATATTCACAGAGCTAATAAATCACTATCATTTTTAAATCATGTCTTGATATATGAGACTTCTGATATTAACTGGAGAGTTATTAACAACGTAGTTATTGACATGGAAGATTATGCAGCAGAAAAGGTTACCTTCACTGTCTTTGAATTTCTTGATAGCCACAATCTCATGTGTCTCCTGTAAAACAAAAGCAAAAAAGGGAAATGAATGGGATCTGTTGTGTGTTTTATCTTGTGGGACTTCCCCCCTTCCCGAGCATCAGACAAATTTAAAAAAGCATTCAGAGAAATTTCACAATGCAAACTGGAATTAACTAAAAAGCTAGTAAATACCTCAGTGATCAGCCAAATGCAATACAAAACCACATGTAGTAAATACATCACAACTAGGAACCCCAGTATGAAAAAAACAAAGTTAAATGCCAAAAATTAATATTTAAATACCCTGTACCTTATATCAATTAAATTTTCAGAAGAGCTGTTCCTGAGGCTCTTGTTGCTTAGTTATTCTGAAAGTCAAACAATCCTTTATCTGACCAAAGTACAAGTGGGTACTTTGTGTATCTTTGTGAGCTGAAGTGAAAATACTGTACTAGCACATGGCTAAAGCTTACAATGAGCCCTGTAATTTTGGTTGCCAAAAGTTTTTGGGTTTTCAAAGTTCAAACATCCACAAAGAATATGATTTTAGGGAAGTAAATTCTCTGTGGCTCCTTAAAAAAAGTTGCCATCTTAAGTGAAGCTTATCCGAAACCAGAATCACTAATCACATTTGAAAGTGTTAATCTATGCTTACTATGCAGCCATAGGTGATAACTTCTTAATACCAGCCTTTGCGTTCATCTAGTTGTCTCTGTTCTCACCAAACCTGATCATCATAGGCCACAGTTTTCTCTTAAATGAAGACATTTCCCTTGTGGTATGAGCAGGA